CTCCTCTCCTCTCCTCTTCTCTTTTCCATTCCTTTCCACTCCATTCTATTTTTCCTTTCCTATTTGCTTGAATCTCAAGCATCTCACTTCTTGATGTAGCTCTATCAGACTCAGCTATGTTAACAATCAAAACAAAACAAAAAAACCCAAACCAAAACCAACACAACCCTGAAACAATTTCTTTAGTTATCTTGGCAGCAGAGGAAGACTTGAAGATGATGTGTGAAAGCTCAAAAAAGAAGAAATTACGAAAACAAGTAAAAATGTGTCAAAATCTCACATTCTTAATGGCTATAGGAAGTGAATATATTTTTCATTGACAAGATAAAAGAAGTAGGACTCGTAAGAGGTATCATTGGCTAGCTAAGTGTTAGGCTTCTAATGTAATTTAGTTTAATGGTCTCCTTTTATTAAGGAAAAAAACAGTAAAGAAAACTGGTCTCCCTTTACAGCAAAGAAAAACAGGCACCTCTGGATCACGATATATTTTATCTTCCTTTGAAAGTATATGTTGAGAAATTTTTAGTTGTCTAAGTTATTATGACCAGTGAAAACTCTGAAGATCCTTAGGGAAGTTTGGATGGGCCATAACCAATAACTGATTCCATTTTGTATTGCCCAAAAAAACCGCAAACAAACCAAAAGTGTGTGCAGAGGGGAGGAGAGAAACAAATCCATGTAGAGTTTATTACGTTTTGCTGGGTCAAAGTAAAAGGAACATCTTGCTTTTTAAAAAAAAAAAAAAAAAATTAAAAAGTCATTTTTTTTCTATTACCAAAGTGAAACATTTCTATTTGAGTTATATTTATTACAGTTATGTTTATATATAGTTTTAATCTATATATGTAAAGAGAGAAAAAGAGTGAGTTCGGTTATGTAAATCTTGGAAACTCCTGGTTAATTTAGAAACTTTTCTTTCTAGTTTCATTTAAATTATCTGAGGAAAAGAATGGTTATAGTATTTCCAAAGTGAAATATTTAATTTAGACAATACCAGTGTGTCCATCTTTTAGACCTTTAGAACAATCATAGGACTTCTCTGGCTGCTGAATCACTCCCCGGCTCCATCTGGGGTGCTGCTAAGCATGTGGGTAGTGCACAGAAGCAGGCAACAAGGTGTTGGAGTGAACCTCGGTACGACATAACTCAACTCTGCAGGACCTCATGTCATTTATTTTGCATTCAAACATAGATTTTTTTCTTCCACATAGGTATGGGGCTCTCGGTCCAACTGACAGCAGTTGTCTTCATCTTGGTATTGGTATCTACACACCATCCCACTGCAGGTAATTTTACTCTGTAATGGATTAATTTTGCTCTGTACTGAATCCATTTCAGAGACTATGGCTAGATTTGAACTCGTGTTCCCTGTGACTTTCTTCTCCAATGAAGGAGGTCCCAATTCAGATGACTTCTTTGGATTTCATGTGAACACAGATGCAGGTTCTGGGATTCAGTGTGCTCAACTGTAGGCATTAAAATTGAGCATCTGAGAGCTATTTGTCTAAGGTACCTGTCCAGTTAATAGGAGAAGATGAGTCATCCCAAAGCATAACACAACTGATTTATCTCAGATCCCCATCTTCCCAGGGAACAAATCACTCTGTAGGGAATGCAGTTTCTTCACTCTTTCTCTATAAGATGATTGTCTCAGTGAGCTATTTATCTTTTAGATGGCTGTATTGGGTTTGTGTGGCAAGGTTTTGGTAGTGGGAGAGCTACACGGGTGGCTTCTGTGAGAAGCTGCCAGAAGCTTTACCTATGTCCAATAGAGCCAATACCAGGTGGCTCCAAGACAGACCCATCATTGGCCAAAGCTGAGCCAATCAGCGATGGTGGTAGCCCCTCTGTGATAACATATTTAAGAAGGGGGGAAAAAAAAACAACAACCCTGTGCAACAGCAACTGTGAAAAAGCAGTGAGATGTGAGAGAAACAACTCTGCAGACACCAAGGTCAGAGAAGAAGGAGGGAGGGGAGGTGCTTCAGGGGTCAGAGCTGAGATTCCCCTGCAACCCATGATGAAGACCATGGTGAGGCAGGCTGTCCCTTGCAGTCCATGGAAGTCCATGGTGGAGCAGATGACCACCTATAGCCCATGAAGGACCCCACGCTGGAGCAGATGGATGCACCCAAAGAAGACTCTGACCCTGTGGAAAGCCCACACTGGACCAGGCTCCTGGTAGGACCTGTGACCCCGTGAACAGAAGTCCATGCTAGAGTAGGTTTGCTGGCAGGACTTGTGGTGCACACTGGAGCAGTCCATTCCTTAAGGGCTGCACCCCATGGAAAATAGCCATGCTGGAGCAGTTTGTGAATAACTGTAGCCCATGGGAAGGACTCACCTTGGAGAAGTTCATGAAGAACTGTCTCTCATGGGAAGAACCTCATGCTGGAGGAAGGGACGCATATGAGGAGGTGTCCTCCAGAAGAGGAAGGAATGGCAGAGACAACGTGTGATGATCACAACCCCCTTTCCCTGTTCTTCTGTGCTGCTGTAGGGGGGAGAAGGTAGAGAACTCAGGAGTGAACTTGAGCCCAGGAAGAAGGGTGGAAGGAAGGTGTTTTAAGATTTTATTTTATTTCTTATTATCTTATACTGATTCAATAACAATAAATTAAACTAATTTCCCCAAGTCGAGTCTGGTTTGTTTGTGACAGTAATTAGTGAATGATTTCTCCCTGTCCTTATCTTGACCCATGAGCCCTTCATTAGATTTTCTCTCCATCCTATCCTGCTGAGGATGGGAGTGACAGAGCGGCTTGGTGGGCATCTGGCATCCAGCCAAGGTCAATCCACCACAGTGGCTAAAATTTGATGAGATGAACACACCTAGATAACCTAATGTTGTCAAACACTACAAAGGAAGGTGGAAAGGTAATTTTGACTTGCATAATGTGTTGGATGCTGATCATTTGAAATAAGGATGGCTTTTAACAATGTGTTCCAAATGCATCTGTGCACTTTTCTTTAGCCTCAAATTTACAGCTGCTACTACTGCTCAGAGCTGTGGAAGAATGTCATAGGAAAAAGGCCACAACTTCACTTGTGATGCACTTATAGGGCATTATAAATGCAAAACTGATCACAGACTTTTTCCTCCTTAGCCTTTAAAACCACTGTGATTGCTGAGCACAGCTCACCTCTTTGTCTCTCTCTTCTGTAGGGGGTGGCCATGATCCATTACTTGTCTTGGATGGTTATGAGGATGATGGTATTCGAGTCAAATGTTTCTCTGCGAGGTTGTTTGCTGAAGTCCAGGTGTTGTGGACAGATGGTAGAGGAGACAATGTCACTGGGACACCTCTCACTACCAGCACCACCACTGCTAATGCCACCAGCTCCATCATTCTAAAACCAGGATCTGGAAACTCTGTGTCCTGCAAAATAATTGACAAACTATTGAAAACATCAACAGAATCTTCAGTTGTCATTGCGGGTGAGTATGAGCTTGTCTCCTTGTGACCTGGGAGGAAAAATAGTGAGCTTATACATACAGGGCAGATTGCCCCAGGAACGAAAATTTCTAGTAGAATAGAATAATCAGTTTTCACAGAATTTTTCTCTTGTGATACTTCTTGGTCTTTGTACCAAACCACCATTAGTTTCCATGGGCAACTCCCAAACATTGTAAAAATATTAATAATAAAGCCACCACTCCATGGGTGTGAGGCCATCTAAGGGAAATAAAATCTTGTTGTCGGGTGGTGCTTATTCTCACTTGCAAGGATGGAGGATGCTGTTCCATCTTTCTCATTTTCTTCTGCTTCTCTTTCTATTGCTATAACATCTGTCTAATGCAGTGGTTTGCACAAATCACTGGTGGTGCTTTGTAAAGTAGCCTAGGGATGTAAAAGTCTCAGTGAACTGCTCCTACAGGTGTCTAAAAATGAAATTTAGACCCAAATTTGGTTTATTTCACTTTAAGCATGTAAACGAAGCATAAAGTTGATAGTTCAAGGAAAGTTATAACTGATAATCTGAATTATTTTGCAGATGTCTTCTTTCCTGCCACCTCCCCTTGGCTGTCAGCTTTTGTCGTAATGCTGCTCTTGAGCATACTTCTGGTTATCGCTGCGATTTATAAATTCAGAAGTAAGTTCCACTTTTAATCCTAAAGTGATGAATCATCATAAAATCCACTTGAAAGACAACATCACCGTGTCCGTAATTATACAGGGAGGAGGGTACAGGATTAGGAACAATCACCCTTGTAATTCTTCAAAGATTGCTTTTTACTGTATTTTTGTTTTCCTTGCGTATTTATTTTTAAGCATTTCTTAACTACTCCAACATCTTGGAGTATAAACCTGCACAACTGCCTTTGTCAATATGGATTGACATATTACTATAGGGAAATTATTGTTGGAACTTAATCTCATTATTAAAATAAAGAAATTCTTGTGAAGAACTGAAATCTTAATTTACTTAAATATATCCACTGGCTTATTTGCAAATCATTTTATTGCTTTATAAGCTATTTTCTGTTCTGCAGTTCTGCAGAACACATCTGTTCTGCAGCAGTTGTTGCAACACACATCTGTTGCCGACACAGCTTGCCAAGTCTGCATTCTTTCTGCTTTCGGAGTCACTAGGTTCATTCATTAAATTCTGTATGATTTCTCATTAATATAATGGAAGATATAAGTATATACAAACCAAGATATTTTGAAAATAAGTTTCTTCCTTATCAAACATGACCACCATGAAATATGAAAAGTTTAATTTTATAAACCTACAAGCAAGAAGAAAGTGCAATAAGATTTTCTTTCTCCCTATCTCTCTCTTCTCTCTCCTCTCTCCTCTCTCAGAGAACAAGAAGACAACTACTCGTGAAAGTAAGTCATATTAATACCACATTTAAAAGTCACATTAACACTATATTTAATCATTAACATCTTGAAAGATATGTGCAACAGTAGAAATGTTAGCTAGTGCTATAACAATGGGGTTGATTGGTTGTATTCCTAACGTTGTTTTACAACAGAGACTTCAAAAGATTGGGGCTTTGGTTGACCCTGTTTACCTGTAGGTTCCAACTAAAGTGCCTTTGGGGAGTAGGTCACCTTACATGCAGCCAGCACAGCAAGACTGTCCCACAACTGATTCCTCTTCCTGATGAGAAATGAGGAAACTTTTGCATGCTGCTTAACCTCAGCTTTTCTGCCTGCAAATATTAAAAAAGTGGTAAAACACATTGGGTCTGGGCCACATTTTGTACAAAACAGGACAAACCCGGGACATGGCTTAGTGGTGGACGTGTCAGTGTTGGGTTAATGGTTGGACTCGATGATCTTAAAGGTCTTTTCCAATCTAAACAATTCTCTGATTCCATGATTCTATATAAATTGTTATGGCTTAATCACTTCTGTGTGGTCTTTAAAACTGGATGTTAAGTGCTTGAAGAATTATTTTTAGGATATAGAAATATTTTTCTGTTCACAGAAAATGCACAAATGGAAATTAAAAAAGGTAAGTGTAACAGCTTTTTTCACAGTTATTTCTGTCTATAAACCTCTCTACTCCTTTAGAACCAGACAAAAGCCAAGTTTGGTGACTGTTTTGCTTTTGTAAAATAGTTTTTTTTAAAAAAAACTCATTGCAATACCTTTTATATTGAGCATGTAAAGATAATCAGTTCCTACCACAAAGAAGAAGACTAATTCCATGGGGAAGTTTGATCTATGGCTGGTATTTTTTGCTCAGTATTTGAACTTGTAAATTGATCTATTGGTTAATTCGGGTAAGTTAATGTGTTTTTAATTTGGGATCATGGTTCGTGCTGAATTTGTCTGTAATAAAAAAATTGAGCTCTAGAGCTTGAAAAATTAAAAAAACCATCATTTTCTGATCTTTTTATGAAGACTGGTTAGGACTGCATTTTAAAAAAAGTAGAAAAATTGGTTCTACTGTGATGAGCAAGTGAGATAGGTTCCACAGTGGAACACAGTGGAATAGACAGAAAATGTAATGTATTTGTGCTTAAAAAAAAAAAAATAAAGAAATGATGTTTTAGTATTTAAACATAATCTCTTCCAGAGATAGATCAACTCAAGAAGGAACTGGGTAAGAGCATATTTTGACTTCTCTGTTATGTTGGCTTTGAGTATCCTTTGGTTAAAAGAATCCTCTATATTTCCAAAAGTTATTGTAACATGAGGAGGTCCCATATTGAAAATGTCCTTCTATTCTAAAGCTAGAGTTTTCAATTCAATTAATGATTATCTGGTAATTATTATCTTCAGTGTCACTTGGTTTGAGGGAGTGAATTTGATGTATCTAGTCTAAGCGAATCATCTAGATCCTTCTACAGTAAATACAGGAGGATGGGTAGCTTCAGAGGACAATTTATTCCCTAAATATTTCGGGATTATATTCTGAATTTAATGTGAAGCCTTGGTTCCCCAAATGAACACGTTCTTTAACACTGACATTCTCAGCCACATTTACACAAAAAAATGTAATATTCTCTGCTATTCCTTGGTTTGTTGTTTTGTTTTTCAGAAAAGGAGCGGGACAGCTTTCAGAAGGGTAAAAGAACATTTTTTTTCTACTCTGCATTTAGTACCACACACTATTATTTTAACCTGAAAGATGCTTTGCAGGTGACCAAATAAAATAGTGGTGTTTTATGCAGTTTTGAATACTAGACTTGGAAAATGCTCTCAGACCTTAACATTTGCAAAGATTAATTCCCCTATTCCAACCAAAAATATAATTGAAAAATTGTGTTATGTGTATGTGTACACTCAGTCTCTTTTTATCTATAGGTATATATCTATATAGGTAGAGGGTATATTTAGATATTTATATGTATATTTATATATACATATATATACACACACACATATATATATACACATATATATATCTAAAAGTTATTTTTCCACTGCTAGAAAATATTTAAGTGAAATGATTTTATTTATTGCATCTCAGGAAAAAAATAATGACTAAGTATCTGATCACAGCATTACAAAAAATATAATGTGAAAAATCCCAGCACAATTCCTATTAAAAATTGAGAATAAAAGAGTTCTCAAAAAGCAACTGTGACAAGCTGTGTCACCAGGGGAAGCTACGAACCACAAAAAAAGGATAATATGGGGTTTTATTTGTGTACAAAAGACAAATATAATCTCAAGGTTTGTGTTATTGGGAGAGATTTTACTCTCTTTCTCTTATGATGCTCAATGAACTGCAAATATCCTTGTGAGGTTATTTGTTCTGAATCACTCCCTGATCGTTTCTGATATTTTCCTTTATTTTGTCATGTTTTGTGTTCAGGAATATTTGTGCAACACATTATTCAATACCAGAGAAAATTTATATAATGCACGTCTATCATGCCACAAAGATAAATAGATTAGTTCTATATATCTTTATATCTAAAAATATATAAACAGATCAGTCCTATATATATAGATAACCTACAAATTAGTATTCCAAAATGCATAGTGAGTGTACCATAATTGGACTGATTTAGTCATCCTAACTTGTAATTTTATTTTGTTTCTTTGTAGAAAATCAGGATATATTGTCTGAAATTGGTAAGGATATTAAGTTAACATTATTCCTTAAAAATAATTTGAATTATTTGGGAGCAGAAATACCATTTTGGAGCTGAACTGTGCCACCATTTGAGGGTTATTGCAGCACTTCATTCTCTTCCATACTCAGACTTTGTTGTCCCTAAAAAACAGTGTTCATCTGACACAATCTTGAACTCCAGAATGTCTGTTTCCATAACAAGAGAACATCATTTCAGTTCTTTAAGTGTTTAATTTTTTTCTGTAGCTGAGTAGAAAACAGATATTTTTGAAAGAAAGAAAAACTTTTTTTTTTTTTTTAATATGCATTTTAATTATTGGTCATGTGAAACTACTGTTTGTCATCTGACAGTCTGGAAGCATGTCACAGGTCCTGTACCTGCAGGTGATCCAGCTCTCCTAACTAGTTATCTAAATTTTGGGCACTGAGGCTAAGACAGGATTCTTGACTCCTTCATTGAGAGATGAAAGCATCCAAGAGTCATTTCAGATAGGTGGTTGAAACAGCAGAGAAGAAACAATTTTTGATGTGCCATTCTCTTTCTCCTGACTCTACACAGAGCCCGGGTGACTAGCTTGGGTTTACATAACCTCTAGCCCTCCAAAACTGGCATTGTTTCCCAAATCCTAGACCAGGTTATAAGTAATGTAGTATTGGAAATACTTATTAGCAGAGATACTCTATAGCATGGCTGTGTCATGCACAAGGATAATATAACTTTCTGTCCTTTTCAGAAAAAGTCCAGAATGAACTGGGTGAGTTGAAAGCTGAAAATTAATTTTATCAAATCTACACCCCTCTAACCCCATACTAAAATTAGATATATTAACATTCTGCAGTAATTTTAATTAATCATTCCTTTCTTTTCTTGAAGAATTCCGAAAAGCTCATAGCAATGCAGGTAAGCCAAGTCTCACCTGCTATTAACATCATGTTCTTTCATGCACATACCAGAGTCTATCCCCTGTGTTATGAAAAACTCAAACTGACAGAATTTGGGGAAATTTTGAAGCCTGTTGGTTGAAACCAGCACCTAAGTTTTCTTAGGCTTCTTCTATCTACACAGTTCTCCATCTCACAAGTTGGGATGAATAATTTCTGTACCAGCTAGGACTTTTTTACATGTTATGTGGCTTTGTGAGATTCAACTTTGTGTTTTGTTCCAAGAAATCCAGCTGCTGGATGGGTCTGACCAGATAGGCTGGATTCCCTCAGTCAGAGTAAAGATGAATTAATAAAGGCACAGTGAAGCCAGAGAACAGGCATGCCCTGTTCGATATTATTTCTAGTGTCAAGGGTTTGTCTGAAAAAAGCACACTCTATATTCCTGGGATATTTATTTTTTATTGATCCATTTTATTTGTATTGTATCGTTTCTCTCCTCTATTCACTTCCTTTAAGATTACTGTTTATTTTCGTGAAAATCAGAAATATCTTGGTGGTTCACATTTTTTCTTTTTTTTTTTCTTCCTTTCTTAAGTTAATATCACTCTGGATGAGAACTGCAAACACCCCAGCCTCATCATTAAAGAGAAAAACAGAGTCAAGTCCTCCATCCAGAAAGAGATCCTGCCCAAAGCGATGGTGGTAGCTACAGAAGGGTTTTCAGAAAAGAAACATTACTGGGAAGTGGAGGTGGGGGACAAATCAGAGTGGGAGCTGGGTGTGGTATGTGAGGAAATTAGAAATACACTGAGGAGCAACATGATGAATACTTTCCCAAAGGGGAATTTACTCAGTCTGCGGTTTTCTCAGGGAGAATACAGCTTAACTGGTGGGAAGAGTGTAAGACATCGGAAGCCCTGCAGCGTGGTAGGTGTTCTCTTGGATCAGGAACTTGACATGCTTTCATTCTTTGATGTTGAAGAAAAGCGCCTTCTCAAATCTCTCTCTCTGGAGTTTTCTGGGAATATGTACCCGTTTTTCAATCCAGGCCCTGATGACAAGTGGTTGGGAGTACGTCCTGTATGCGCTCAAAACAAATAACCCTCTCTGTGACATCCCTCCACAGAGGCAGGAGGAGATTAATGTATTAATGATTCACAATGTAGTGAATCACAGAGGATGTGAAAGCACAGAAGAAGAAGAAGAAAAAGGTAATATTAGCTTTTAAAATCATGGTCAAGAAAGAAATAGTTTTTTAAGTACTTCTCAGGGATTCATCTTGTAATAAGAACTAATTTTGTAAAAACCCAGACCTGTCAAGTGTTGCAATTTTATTTCATTTTGCCCGGACTAAGGAAAACATAGATTTACATTTGTTGTATTTGTTGTGTGTTCATTTTTAACTAATAAACCCATCAGATTGGTTTACAGTATGAATGCAAATTTCAAATTTTATACAAAGTCAGAAAACTATTAACAACAATTCAGTTGTGAACTATGAAAGTTTTTTTGGAAGTCTGCTTTTAAGAGATGTTAAGTGACAAGGGTGAAATCCACAGATCACGTACTGGATGTGATAAAACTCAGAAATAATTGCTTATATGTAAGCACTTGGTTAAGTTAGTGTGATTTAAGGAATGGAAGTCCAGACAGCTTTAGCTGCCCAAATGTCGACGCCTAATGCAATTTGAGCTCTCACAGGACTATCAAAGCACATGATTTATGGGATTCTCAGACCCTCCTGAAGTAGGAGCTGAAGATGAGGGAAGATTTGGCATGGCATCTCAAGTGGCAATAGATGTCTGCCTTCAGGCAAGTGAATGATGTCCTATTCTCTACTGTCTGTAACCGGAGCATAAAACTCATACTCACAGCTAGGTAGTGTGGTGGGTTGTCCTTGGCTGGACACCAGGTGTCCACCAAGCCACTCTATCGCTCTCCCTCCTCAACTGGACAGACACGGGGACAAAATATGACAAAAGGCTCATGGGTTGAGATAAGGACAGGGAGATCACTCAGCAATTACTGTCTCTGGCAAAACAGATTCAACTTGGGGGAATTAATTTAATTTATTACCAATCAAATCAGTGTAGGAAAATAAGAAATAAAACCAAATCTTAGAAAACACCTTCCTCCCACCCCTCCCTTCTTCTTGGGCTTAACTTCACTCCTGTCTTCTCTCCCTTTTGGGGGATAGGAAATGGGGTTTCAATCAGTTCATCACACATTGTCTCTGCTGCTCCTTTCTCCTCAAACTTCTGCTCCAGCCTGGGATCCCTCCCACAGGAGACAGTCCTCCATGAACTTCTTCAGGGTGAGTTATTCCCATGGGCTGCAATTCTTCACAAACTGCTCCAATGTGGTTCCTTTCCATATTGTGCAGTCCTTCAGGAGAGGACTGCTCCAGCGTGGGTCCCATGTGGGGCCAGAGGTCCTGCCAGCAAAACTACTCCAGTGTGGGCTCCTCTCCACAGGCCACAGGTCCTGCCAGGAGCCTGCTCCAGCACAGGCTTTCCAGCCTGTGGTCACAGCCTCCTTCGGATACATCCACCTGCTCTGGTGTAGGTTCTTCCATGGGCTACAGGTGGACATCTGCCTCCCCATGATCTTCTCCACAGGCTGTAGGGGAACTTCTGCTCCTGTGCATGTAGTATTTCCTCCCTCTCTTTCTTCACTGACCTTAGTGTCTGCAAGGTTGTTTCTCACATTTTCTTACTATCTCTCCCAGCTGCTGTTGCACAGCATTTTTTTTAACCTTTCTGAAATATTATCACAGAGATGTTACCAACATCACAGATGGGCTCAGCTTTGGCCAGTGGTGGGTCCATCCAGCAGCTGACTGGAACTGGCTCTGTTGGGTATGGAGGCAATTTCTGGGATTTTCTCACAGATACCACCCCTGTAGCACCCCTACTACCAAAACCTTGCCACATAAACCTAATATAGATACCTAGAATTAAGTGACTTAATTTACAAGTTGAATAGTGCCTGTAATTCAGGGTGAGCTGAAGCCACCATTGAAAAATGAAGTTAGCTGAATCCCATCGCTTTAGCTGAACTTTAAAACTCTCATGAGTAAAAATTGCTTAAATAACTGAAAGGATAATCAGGACATAAGTTCAATGCCATGAGATGTGCCAAGTGCTCAAAATGACCAACCACGTAATGGGAGAGATACATTAAAGGAAAAGGAGGAGACCAGCCTGTGAAGATTTTATCTTCTAACCTGCTTTTGAGGAATGTAGTGCTTGGCAGTACGAAGCTTGTCTTGCCTCCCTCTTGTACTCTGTGCATTTAGAGTAAATACTGAATCCTTTCATATCATGGCATAATCCCTAATGGTTTATTTACAGTGGTAATACTCCCTCTATTAGTCCAGATGACCCAAGGTGTTCTGCATTTCATAGATAACTGCCACTGGGCAAGAAAAATGTGTTCATTAAGAGAGGTGTGTGTTCATTAAGAGACCATGAGAGGACAAGATCTTTGGAGATAAGGTAGATTGTAAATGCAAGGTAATGGTGTAAAGACATAGTTTGGGAAGTAAGGCCATAAAAGTGTGGTGGGACATGCCAGGACGCAAAGGTCTGGATTTAGCCCAGCCATAAGAGTTGCTAAAACGGAAGGAAGACAGTGACTGGAGACAGTAAGTTATGACTGGGACCATGTGCGTGGGGGAGCTGGAGTGCTGCAGATCTGTGGGATGCATTGCTTCTCTGAAGTCTCCTGGAAATGTTTCTGGGGATATCTCCAGAAAGGCACACTGGTCAAACATCCCTCTCTGTCAGTTTTCCAGGAAGCAGATTAAAAAGATCAATTAACATCTGCTCGCTAGCCCTGTGATCCTCCTCATCCCTTTGGGTGCCACAGTTTCCTGAGATCAGTTCTCCATTTGGCAGCGCTTGAGAAATCAGCTCTTTTCTCAATGTACTTTTGCTGTGGATTGGCACATTTCCATGCTTGTTACAGCCCAAAGGATGGAGGTTGGGAATGAGAGAGCACTTACAAATTCACTGCCTACAGACAGCTAGTTTAAACTTAGATGAGTACTTTTTAGAGAGAAAGGAAGCTTGGTCTTTACCTTCAGTCACAGACACCTGTAATCCTGGTCTGTGAGTAAAAGGTGGTAATTAACTTTCGCTATGAATTTCTAACTCATTTACGTATCAGGACTCTCGGTTGCAATCTGGTTTAACTTCTCAAAAACTTTCTCTGCCAGCAAAGCTGATGGTGGAGAAAAATCTAACAATCTTAATGATGATTAGAAGTCTTAAAAAATAAAAGAAAAACCTTTATTTTTCTGGGTTTGTTTTCTTAATTAATGAAGTCCAGTTTCCCAATTATTTCTTTTTTATAAAAGTGAATTTCTGTGGAACAATCAAGGGGGAAATAAAATAGTCAATTAACTACACCCAGAGAAAATTTTATCTAAAAAATCTTCCAGTTAAAAACTGATTCACAAACCTGTTCTTTTCTACAGAAAGCACTATTAATTAGATGTTCTTACTCTTTATATAAAGGAGATGGAAAACCTCAAGATAATTTATTGAGACTACCTCTGAACACCCTAACTCAAAGGGGAGAGAGACAGCAACTCACACTGGAAGGCTCTTTAGAGGGAAGTTCAGTTTTGGATTGTGACCCTTGAGCAACTGTCTGTGAGGGTGTCTCTATTTGAGTGAGGTGTTTACTCTGTCACTGGAGTCAGTATGGATATGATAAGAATCCAGAACAAAAAAAAATGAGAGTGCAGATGTCTGATGAGCAGGACCTAATTAAAGAAGTGCTACCCCGTGAGCTGCTCTGAAGTTGTGACAGTAAAGCAATTAGATTTAATGTTGTAGTTGACAAAGCAAGTCAGGAAAGTTCAGCACATAGATATTCCATGTGAAGGAAGGGAACTATGTAAAAGTGAGTCATATGTCTTGAAAAAAAACAAGTGAATAAACCATTGAAGGTACAGGACAGAAAGGAAGAAGCTCACAAGCTGCCAAGAGACTCTTAGAAATACATGGCTTTGGAAGTTCTCATAAACTGTGCGCCTCAACTCAGACAGAAAGAAACCTTGTCTAAAAAAGATCCCTGATTTACTAGGAAATTAAGACTATGTCATGCAGAAAAGATCAGCATAAAAGAAGTGGAAAATCAGGATAAGAGAAAAGCCCATAAGGTCAAATATATATTAAAAATTGAGATCTAAAAAGCAGTAATATCAAGATAATCTGCAAAGAGTGTCCAAGACTATAGTGAAAATTACATTAGCTGGGAATGGATTGGGACAAATATGTCAATAAGTCACTAGAATTACAAGGTGTCACACACAAGTCCTGAAGGAACTCAAAAGTCAAACTACAGAACTGCCAGCCAAGTGTTTATGTAACGACCATATACTGAAGGACTGGTGGGTTGTCAGTATAATTCCTGTTCACAACTAAGGCTCTGGAAAGGGTATTGAAAACTATGGAGCCATCCAACTCTCACCTCAATGAGGTTATAGAGGATGTTCTAAAGCAAGAACTCTCGGCACAGGGACAAACAGAGAAGACAAGAAAGACATTGATGTGCTGGAGCGCGTCCAGAGAATGACAACGAAGCTGGTGAAGGGGTTGGAGCACAAGTGTGGTGAGGAGCGGCTGAGGGAACTGGAGTTGTTTAGTCTGGAGAAAAGGAGGCTGAGAGGAGACCTTATCACCCTCTACAATGCCCTGAAAGGAGGTTGTAACAAGGCAGGTGTCAGTCTCTTCTACCAAGAGGCAACAGGACAAGAGGAAACAGCCTCAAATTGTGCCAGGGGATGTTTAGACTGGATATTAGGAATAATTTTTTCACTGAAATGGTTATCAAGCATTGGACCAGGCTGCCCAGGGAAATGGTGGGGTCATCGTCCCTGGAGGTATTTAAAAGACTGTAGATAGAGTGCTTAGGACTCGATGATCTTAAAGGTCTTTTCCAACCTAAACGATTCAATTCGATTCGATTTGACTCTATTTGATCCTATTCTATTCTAAACACAAAGTGTTGGAGAAGAGTAACTCAGTTCCTCTAAGGGGAAATCATACCTCTCTGCACTGCCTGAGTTGCCTGAAGCTGTCAATAAGCATGTAGATAAAAAGAATCCAGTGGGTAGAATGAACCTGCATTAAAAAAAAACAAAGCAAAACAAAAAAAACCCCAAACACACCCAGCCTTTGCCAAGGTTCACAACACAATA